GAACAGCGATCTGCTGGGGGTATGACGTCATCGAATGTGAAGACTGACACGAAACCATTACATGGCGTAGTATAGTCTTCACTCCGCTTTGCCGTAAAGCAGAGCCAATTTGGTAAGTTTCTCCTCTTTTTTCACTGCTGATGTTGCACTTATTCGTTGTCGTTCATGAAAGCGTCAATTAAAATAGCAACGAGACTGAATTCTACCACGATTTGTCGGCCTCCCGGCTTACCACAGTTTGCACGCGTTGGTGGGCCTGAACATGTTTATAGTATTAAGTAGTGTTATGACGTGCATTAAATGTCAATTGTCGAGCTCTCTTTTCTTTCTCCGACTCACGCTTACTTTTCAATGAGAGTCCAACTTCAACGGCTCTTTGAACATTGGAGGAGTACGTGAGAAGTTGAATATTGTGTGTGCCCTGGACGCCATGGTAAGAAAACTGCTATCCTTGATCTGTTTTGACATTTTTCGATCAAAGTGATATCGGAATGCTTTAATTGGTGTGCCGGACGATAAGAGTAAGCTAAGAGAAGACATATTTATTATTTTAAAAAGGTGTACATTATATTGCTTTGTTTATTAATTTTTTCCTGGGTGCAGTGATAGTAAAAGTAATGCACCGTAATGCACGTAGTTGTACGTAATTGTCCAACTCTAGATCGAGTTTTACCGTTCGATCTGTTACAGTCGCAACTTGCTGAATGAAAAATATTGCATAATTCAGACAATTGACAGGACATCTTGCTGTTTCTTCGTTTGTTTCGGTAGACGTATTTATTTATATTTTTATTTAATTTTTACATTTCTAATATGATAAGTATGTATGCGCGCAAAACCAACTCAGAAAAAATATTACTCTGGCAAAAACTATTTTGGAACGCGAAAAAAACCCTTTAACTGTTTCCGGTCCAGACATGTAATCTACGTTTGATCGACAAAATAAAAATGGAACTTACTTTCACTTACTTACTTACTTTCACTATCACTCCCATCTGCTCCACCATCGGGTCGGACTGTAGGTCCGCATAGCAGTTTCTGTCCTGGCCTTCCACGCAAGGCGTGCAGCAGCACTGTGCGAGAACAGGCTCACCCAATATTGTGCAAATGTATCAAGGACACGGAACTCAAAGTGCTTGCCCACGTTATCAATTTTATGCGAGAAGCAGGTAACATCAAGTAACTGCGGGAAAAAGAACCTAACTTGCTGCAGCGCTGCCTGGTTCACAGATGCCCCGTCCTTCATTGCAGCTAACAAAGCACCGGGCTGGAACGCATACTCCACAGCCAAAGCTTGAATCAAGCACTGGGCTAGCTCTTCAGCTTTTAAGCTTTTTTCTAACACTTGTAGCCTGACCAGCCTTTGTTGGACATTCCATTGACTGTCGACAAACCGCCTAATGATAGCTAAAGCCTCTCCCAAACGTGTACTGCCATCAAAAATGGTTGAAACGGCTTTGGCTTCAGACAGATCTGATTTTAAAGTTTCCTCCTCTTTTTGAAGAACGGAGGGAATCAACTCCCTTAGGTGACTCTGAGAGGTTAGCCGATGCCCATATTTTTCGAGAAACGAACGTAGGCAATCAATCCTAGACAAGGGAATTCCAGCTTTGGATCAGGTCAAAACGATACAGACGCATATCATGAGGTAATGTTTTTCCTTTAGGATGCTTTGCTTGATCATTTCTTCGTAACAATTCTAGCACCGACTGTGTTTCTTGACGGTGCTTTCTTCTTCCTTATTGTTTCCTTGCAAGCACCACATCTTAACTTGCACCACATCTTAACTTGCCATCAACTGAGGTAAGGTACTCTTTCTCTTGCTATTTTGGCTTTTTCGGGAGTATAATATCATGTATTATTTTAATTAAAAATAAGGATTATTAAAAAATAAGAATTATGTGGTTTTCTTTTTTACCAAATGACGCATAAGTCGCAGCCGTACAATAAATTGCCTGAAAGGGACTTCGAGCGCATTTTTTACCGTTTAACGACTTTATGGCTAACTTTAAAAGGTACTAGTGACTGGGCTGAGTCTCTTAGAAGACACGAAACGCTAAGTATATATTCAAAACACTAGAATATGGAAGCCTAGTTTGAGAAATTATGTTGGTCAACATGTCACGTGATCACGTCATGTATAATAAACAAACCCAAATTCCTTCATTAAAACTCTATCCACTGTTACGAGAGGATAACAGTCGAACTAACGCTCGTGTAAAAGTCTATTCGCATCACGGTCCAATTTTTAAAAACTAGGCTAGCGCCACATTTTGATCCCGATTTTTTGTTTAAGATATTTATGCCCAAAATCGGTTAAAAAGAAAACTGATTTGCTGTAAGTGGAAAAATTGTACCTAAAGGTGTAACCCTATGTAAATGAGTAGTTACTGTATATTTAGAGCTTTTTGACGACCGTTGCCCAAAATGTTTTGTCGCAATAAGACGTCTCCAAGGTGAAACAAACGTTATTTACGGACTTAGTCCTCAGCATTTGGTTTTATTGCACCAATATGTACCCCATGGCTTTGATACTCTTCCCTCCATCATCTAACTTAAAATGGAGTGCCTCGTTTCCGCAAGATTTTGCGCCTTTTGGATAACTTCCTGTACCAAATCCAATCAAAGAGTTGCACGAGTAGCAGTCGTTTTGGTTATTGCTAACAATACCAATTCTGACTTTAGCAAGATCACGATCACCAACAGCATTGAATCCTTCCTTGTTACAGTTGAGCTGTAAAGAGGCGTTGCTGCCAATCAACTTTTTCCACCCGTCACGACCCAGTGAGGTGTTGCGGTATTGGCCATCAGCAATTAGTGAGTGCAGAGAGACAGCCAACTTACTGATGACAATAAACCTGAGCTGTTGGTTGATCTTCATTCCGAGACAGATCTTGGAGAATGATGTGTTCCAGTATGTGGGTAGCTTTGATTCTTGCTCGTCAAACCCAGTCTCTCCACCGAGAAGGTTGAATTCATCGTAATTTGTCCAATAATGCGCCTCATAATGGAAGGTGGTCTAAAATACAGGAGCATAACACTTGTGTATTTCTCTGAATTGATGGATTTTCCCTGTCTACTTCCTGTCGTGTTTCTGTATTTATTGATTTATTACCTGACTCATTTGTTTTATCATAGAATTGACCTCGATATTTTTGACATCGTGTCGTCAATGCTAAGGTAATTTTTGTTTTCAACACAGACCTGGCACCGTAGATCAGTGCATGACATGTCAATCTAGTTATAGGGAGTTTTTCTGTGTTTTCATTTGCACCCCAATCAAGAGTCTTTGAAATGATAAAGGATGACAGACGTCGTTTTTCTTTAAAGAAATTCTGATCTCTTTGTACATAGACAAAATTGGAGTGTGATTGTGTCACGATAAAAGTAACCTGATCCCCACTCCTCCCACGTAAGTGTAATATTCCTATGATCCATGATCCCTCCTCATTGGCAAGTTTATTGGTACTCAATGTTCTATGGTCCTCCAACAATCCTCCTCTACCTATCCACGTCCCCCCTGCTGTTCAAACGATGAACAATGACTGCTATTTAAATCAGGTTGATATCTACATAACCCTCAAATAGTGTGAAAATTTAACTCAGATAAGAGATTGTCCTTGTTCCAAACAGCCTTTAAACGAATTTATACTTATGGCTGATTTTTAACTTTTCTTTTTCTACAATCATTGCACACAATAAGTCTCGAAATTTACGTTGAACAAAGTCAGGTCTTCGTCCATTACCGTCTGGATGAAAAACAAAAGGCATTCATATATAGAAGGCGCGTTTTTAACTTGCAACGTTTCGCAAGAGAGCGGGTTTATACAGGAAATGAATTATTCAATAAAAGTATGCACCTCTCTGCCGTCAATCTTCATGACTGGCGTCCATCCTCCGTCTCCACACCCAAAATTTCCCATATGACAAAAAACGGACAATGGTTGGGAGTCAACAACAAGGGTAACCACACCACTCATACTGGATCTTTTTAATCAAAATATTATAAAGAAACAAAGCATTTAAGTAAACTATGACGGTGAAATAAAACTAGAGCTTATAAAGATAATTATCATTAGTGGCAATGAAAATCACATTGGCATAGATACTGACTGATAATGATAATGATTGAACACATGAGCAAATGAAAAGTTAATCCTTCAGGAAGAGGCGTCAATTTCTGCGGGATATAAACAACAGCCTTCATAGCAACAATGCTCGGTTATTTGTCCTGGAATTAAACAGGTGTCTGGGAGCTTATTATTTTTCACTTCTTCTGTAAGGACGGGAAGACACTCAACCAAGTGAATCGAATTTAAACGGAGGACTTTCTTTGCATGGTGGTTTGAAAATTAGGGTATATTTGGTGACGTGATGGGCTTAAACCAATTGCGGGAAAGCGGAATATTTGATGTACTACATAAATGACATCCGAATATCAACTCTACTTACGTGTCCTGATCATGAATTTCTTTGCACGAAGTAGGTCCTAGAAAAAGTTTTAAAATAAGTTTATTAGGATTATAAAATTATATTGTCTCCCCATTGCTGTTGTTGTTTTTTTTTAGTATTATTATAATTCAGCATCCTGGCTGGATTGAAACATTTTCTTTTTAAAGGACTTTCTTGGGCAGCATGCATGTTACTTCGAATCCTTGAAAAGAAGAGACGTCGGTAGAGCGTCCCGTCATCATTGATAATAATTATTTCCAGTCTTGCTTGAAGTTGCTAACTAACTGATGGCTCTCCAAGTATGTAATGCACTTGTTTTTGAAGAATAGTTAATCATTCTGCTCTTTTTTATGTCAGTTTACTTTCCTGTATGTGTCTCTCTCTCTTTCACTCTCTCTTTCGTTGTCTTTTCTGTTGCTTAGAAATGACGATGTAAATGAAACATGTTTATGCAATAAGTATACGACTTTATGCTTCTCAATAATTGAATTGAACATCTCACTTGAAAGACATAGAGGATTTTTGGTTTACCTATTTGGCACCTCGGACCTTTGTATCCAGCAGGACATAGACACCGATAAAGTTTGTCTGTAAAACTGCTTTGACAAGTGGCGTTGTTCTCGCAAGGATTTTCAGCACACATGTTCTTGCGAAAGAAAAAAAGAACCTTCACGCTCAATATAACACGACTTAGCCCAAACAGCGTATTATGCAAGTTTGTTGAAAAGTCTCACCTGAACTGGCTCTGCGATATTCACTTAAGAGAAACTTATACAAGAGCCATTCAATTCAAATATTGTTTTTCTGTGGAGGTGGGTCACGGTTGATACATCTAAGAATATGAGGGGATGAACAAATAGAATGAGCGAATAGATAACTATACAAAATAAAAAGGGAACGAGTGAAATGATAATCGGAAAAAGCATATCTCGTTTAGCCTTTAAGGAAGACAAACGTTAGAAGAAGGCCAGGATAATTATTTTATGCCCAAGAGAAGTTACTGATCATTTATCTTGGATGACGCCCTCTCAATTATGGCTGCAATACATTATAGACGGTGTTTCCTTGAAAAGGCTGCCTCGAAATATCAAAAAACACAGAGGAGAGTCCTTACCACGATGTGATAGTGATGTGAGCTTTCGTTTCTTCTGAATTCCCTGGGGTTTCTGTACTTGTCAGATGACAGTAACTCGCACCATAGTCTTATTTCGAAAGCCAAGTTCACAGAAATACAGGAAGGATGTTGAAGGCATCTCATGGTACACTCCAAGTCGTCGTGCACTGAAAATATTCCAACTCGAGGCACATTCAGATAACGGAACTCATCTATAGAAAACAGACCTTGTCTTACGTCTGTTACTCGATGGTCTGCATTGTTCTTTTCTGATGATCGAGTCAATGGAGCACTGTTAGCGAGTAGCTAAATGCATCTGTTATAATTTATAATGACTTTGTTCCGTTATATGTTCAAACATAACTCTTCCAAGAAAATTCAAGGGTAATGCATATTACAGAAGTTAATAAATAACAGACCTTTTTCTTAAATGCGAATTTGATCGTTATCATATCTTTTCAGTCGTTGCTGCAAACGCTTCTCTAAAAAGCGCTTTCTCTTTGCGTTGCACAATTAATGTCATTTTTTCTCCCAAAATTTGGAAAGTTAAACTACTACATTTTTATGTTAATGACACTCATTAAACTATAAGACCGCAAGTGCAGCTCTAGTCTCAACCATAATAACCTGCAGAAAAGAAGTACTTCCATTCGTTCCATTCAGTCAATCGGAGGCAAGCGTGAGGCAGCGCAAAGGGCGGATAACACGCGGAGGGAGAGACGTAAAAAAAAATTAATGAATAAAAACTAAATAACTAATAAAGTAAATAGGAATTATGCACTTTTTCTTACGGAATGCTTTATAAGTCACAACCATACACTTAAGTGATGCTCTCGCTAAGAGCGGTCCTCTCGACTTCCCATCGAAGAAAAAGTTTACTTTTATTTTTTTGCCCATGATAAGGGTTTAGGACATGTTTCAAAAATAGTTGCGTCGTTACAAGCCAACTTTTTTTTTTTGGTAAGACCACCCAATATTTATGAAAGAATTCTCAAAATGCAGGCGTAAATTAGGCCAAAAAGGTAACTGATTGCCTTAATCCTTTAACCTCTATGAGTGACAAAGACAGAATTTCTCCTTACAATAGCAATACAATATCAACCAGATAAGTGATGGGAATAAAGAAAAATATCATTTTGGGGATAATTAGTTGATCCAATACTAAATTCTCTGAACTAACTTTATAAGAATTGTATGGTTGACATTAAGGAGAATTTCAAATTTGATCTGAGACTTAAAGGGTTAAAACCGTGGGTATCTCTCTAACTTTCATCCATCGACATCTTGAAAACAACGCAAATCCGCGCGTTTGCTCAATTGCGCTCGAAATATTATTTTGATCGTTTAAACTTCGTTTGTTCATCTTCTACGTTGAGGATTTTAGGTTTTCGAGACAACTGGATGGAAAATAGATCCCAAGTTGTCCTAGAACGTTGCATAAATATGATCCGTGTGGTTACGCTTCCTTGACTTACAAAGTAAAAAAAGGTGACCGGATGGCGACTCCTCGATAATTATCGTTGAATCAGGCCATGAACCACGCACAGTGTGGAGAAGATCGAAATTGAAATATAAAATTTGACAATCTGGTCCTTACAGACATTCCGCGTAGCTTACAGGGACACACAAACAAGCTGAAATACGTTTCGGTGTTATTTACAAAACAACACGCATACACTCTGAAATAATTCTTGCAGTTTCTTCTAATAATTTGCACACGGAACGCAATGAACTGGCGCTCTTTCTTAAAATTTGTTTCCATCATTAAAGATTTAATGTTGTTATGCACCACAACATTCTTGAGGGACATACTTGACATTTCCGTGCGACCATCAAAACCAAATAGACAAATATCCGGCTTGATGTATAGCTTATTTTTTTCCCTCTTTCGCGGTTATAAAAATTGAAACCAACCACTAGGTAATGCAACGAATTAGAATCGAAAGTTATAAAATGAATTGGAGAATGCTACATTTTACTGATAATTTTATCTCTTGAGATGTATACCTGTTTCGTGGAAGACAAAGATTATGATGGCTGCGGAATATTATTGCAAATATTGTAAGGGATTACAAGCCATTACAGACCATTAAGATTGTTGTGTGGACTATCCTAAAAGGTGTTTAGTGAGCGGCATAAGTCTCTTAGCCGAGACGAAACACTAAGTTTATATTCAAAACGCAAGAATATGGAAAGTCTGTACTTTTAGAAAGTCTGTTGGTCAGCACGCAATGTGATCACGTCATGTGTAATAAACAAACCTAACTTTCTTCAATAAAACTCTTTTTACTGTTACAAGAGGATAAGAGTCAAACTAGCGCTTGTGTGAAAGTCCATCCTGATGTTGTTTACCCAGCCTAAAAGATGGTAGCCAATTGACAAAGATGTTAATTAACCAACACTTTAATTAATGATTGGAAGATATTTCATCCCTCTGTTGTGTTTTTCTGAAAGCTAATTATAATTCTAAATAATCCCACTATGTCAGTTAAATAGACGAGCTTGAATTTGACAGTTCCGCTTTACGCTTTCGTCTAACGGTTGTGTTTTTGAGACAGCTAATTATAATTCTAAATTAACACTTCATTATGTCAGTTGAATAGACGAGCTTTAATTTGACAGTTCGGCTTTTATATAATGATATTTAAACAAGTAGCTCTCTCACCCGTAGGTGATTTACAGAGAGGTCCTAATCCAAAATAACATTAAATTGTTAAAAGTAAATAAAAATTGCAGATATTAAAAAAGTACAAAAGTAAGCTATAAATTAAAAGATTTTAAAAATTATTCCTAAACTGACATATAGTGCCAGAGTTCTTCAAGTCACTGTCCAAGGCATTCCAGTCTTTAAGGCATGATAACAGGTTCTTTGTTTACCCCAGTTCCGTTTAACTGATGGAAGTCTAAGATGATCTTTGCAACGAGTGTTGTATCTATGTACATCGCTGTTTCTAGATAATTCCAATTTGTGAGATGTAATTCCCTTCACGCAATTATAAACATACAAGCAGCGATGGAAGTGCCTGAGTTGTTTTAAATTTAACCAGCCGAGCTGATTGAGAGCATCGGTTGCAGAAGAGTACAATGGTTTATCTAGAACAAGTTTTGCCGCCTTATTCTGCAACACCTGCAGATTGTTCATTAAGACAGCGTTATCCTTATCACCCCATACCATATCAGCATAATCAAGGATGGGAAGGACAAGGCTTTTGTAATAAAGAAGGCGTGCGTTATACGGCAACAAATGCTTGATTCTACGCAAAAGACCTAATCTCTGGTTCACTTTAGATATTACATGTTCCACATGTTCGGTCCATGTAAAGTTGGAGAATAATTTTCTTTCACCTAACAGTTATAAACTGTAGATTTTCTTAAGAGAACCTTTGACCGCCTAAGCCGAGGGCCGGAATCTCCGGGGGAAAAAAAAGTTGAAAGTAGCAATTTGTGGACAGCTTGCGTCGGCAAAGGAATAGGAGTACTTCTACTATTTGGCCAAAGTTATGAAGATGGTTTTACGCCATGAATGCCTAGTTGTGTTTATACTGCTACACTTGTTCTCATGCCAAAACGAAAATAAACGGCTGGAAATAGGGCCCATCCTTTTTAAAAGTTTACCTTTTGTTCTAATCTTTCGAAATATTCACGCTATATTCTTAAAACTTTTTTGCGAATCTAATTTACCGTAATCCAAATATTACTTTTGCATTTTAGAAAAACATTTTCTCAGGAGTCACGAGGAAGAGTTGAAGACCACTGGACCTAGTAGTTTTAAACAAATCGACGTTTCCCTTCTTTGGCTCATACGCCTGTGGTGACCAATATCTAGATAGCTCTCACATCAGTAAAAAAAAAAAAAAAAATTTCTGTAAGTGGAAAAATTGTACTTAGAGGTGCAACCTTAAAACACTGCTGACCATAGACACTTTTGTCTATACCATGAAGCATTGCGTCACGGTCCAATTTCTAAAAACTTAGGCTAGCACCACATTTTAGTCCCACTTTTTTGTTTATGACATTTAATGGCCCTTTAGACTCAGTTCACTTGAAAAAAGTACACAAAGAGCTTTACGTCAAACAATTCAAAGAGCAGTTTGAATGGCGTCGGCTGAAATGCGTGGGAGAAAGTTATGATTTAAGTTGAGCTGCGATGACTTAATTATTTGGGAAGGATGAGACACACAATCTATCAGTGAAATACGCTTCTTCTGAGCTTGTTTTCCTTTTTTACTGCAACTTATTTCCTTAAAACTGCATTTTCCTTAGACAATTCGAGTCGAATTTTTTTATGATATTTCTATCAGGGAAGGGTATTGCATTATAGAATTCCATTTCTGCATGACACTGTATAAAACACCTGTCAAATTAACGTACTAACACTGGCTAGTTTGGTGCTAGAAACTTCTTGTAGGACAAAAATGTCTTCTTCCTAATTCCAGCAGCATTTTGTCAAACTTCAAGTACTACACAGGAGGCGACAATTTATTAAAAAGAAAAACACATTTCTGTTGAAGTCGGTTACATATCGTCCTAATTACGTATGGAAATATAATTCCCGAAATATTTCTTGCAGGAAAACAAAAGAGAAAATGATAATGAAGGAAATGGAATCCGCTTTCGTAGGGAACGTAGCTCCCGGTGTTGTGGTCTGCCCTTGTCATTGTTTACATAGGCCCCCATTTAAAAACCAGCTCTGAGCTGAACTGGGCTAGCCTGTCTAAATATCGCAAATACATATACACATAATGTTATTATGAAACGTGTGGAAATAATTCTTACTATTAAATACGAATAACACTTAATTATAAATCACCTTGTGATCCAAATGCAGTGGATATCATGACACAAAACAGCAATTGATGGACACAGTTGAAAACGGAATACATGATACAAGACTCATTAGAAACGTTCCCTGATAATCTGAACCTAAATAAAGTTCTGTAACCAATGGTTTCGTTTTAAATAGTTTTGACATTTGCCTTAGGCCATGAGGAGCCGCGAGCACTATGTTCTCTCTTTATCATTATTTATTAATGTTTATTTAATATGTTTTTTTAGCGACCAGTGGTATTCCTTAGTTGCTATTAAAAAAATTCCGATACCATCACAAAGTAAAAGCCATAGAATGTTTAAAATC